CCCAGCCCCCCAGTAGCCACGGTGATGCACGTCAGCCGTGCCGGGTGCCCGTGGTGGGCCGGTGGTGCGTGGCCGGGGGCTCTGCCATGTGAGGTAGCTGACATCCAATGTTCCCTCAGCAGTGGCCTCTGAGCAGGGAGGGGAGGCGCAGGAGAGCCGGGCCTGGGGGGGTATGGGGGTGTCACGGTGCAGGAGGGATACTGCCGGCATGGCAGGGATGGGCACCACATGTGCCGGGGTGCTCGAGGATGGGCTGAGCCCCCAGAGCAGGCGAGCGCTGAGGAGGCTTTGTGGATCAGCAGTTCTTTGGTCCCAAAGACAGACAAGCCCGGCAGGACCCAGGTGCTGTTTCTGGCAGGGGTTTCCCCTCCTTGGGACCGGGCGCAGGCAGGAGACCGATGCCTGGGATGGGGCTGGGCCCACGGTCCTCCAGCTGCCCCATATCCCCCAGCAGCCCCAGCACCTGCCAGGGACACGGGGCGACTGCAAAGAAATCACCCCACAGCATCGCTCCCTGCTCTGCACCCCCAGTCCCAGAGAGGGTTCATGTTTGCTCTCCATGAGCCCACCAGCCCACAGGATCCAGCCCCTGTGCTCCTCATAAAATCCAAGCAAGAGCAGAGCTGGCGTTTCATGTAACGCGTGGCGATTCCCCATCACCAAGATTTGGAGATGCTATTTCCCTCTCGGTGGAGGAAAGCGAGCAAGGCAGAACAGCTTTTGTAGCGGCGGGGTGTTGATTCATGGCTCGTAATTTAATTAAGAGAGAGACGAGATCAAAAGGGGACTGTATTAAAAAATAAATCAGGTAAAGGGAGTGGAGTTCCTTCCTTTAATTACGGCGTGGATTTGTAACGCTGAGAGACTCCATCAATCACAAAGGAAAGAAAAGGTGTCAAGTGGAGAGAAACCTTCCCTGAGTTAATTACTGCTAACGGAGGAGGAGGTTATTGGGCCGGGTGTCAGAAAGCCAATACCTCCCCAGCGGCGGCTCCGGCAAGGCTGGGCAGCACGAAACCCCTTCGGTGTTGAACATGGTGATGCCGGAGGTGCCTGGTGGGTGCAGTCGAGGAGATGCCAGGCAGCGATGCCGGGCGATGGTGGGGAGGGTGGCCTGGGGGCTGCGGGGGCAAACACTCCCAGGCAGGGGCAGAGAGCACACAGCTGGGTGCGGGCACGGCTGCGGGGCAGCGACGGCGGCGGCCGCCCCGCTCTTGGGTGGACGTCGCGACAGCCCTGCTCTTGGGGGCTGCGGGCTGTGCCGTCGGCAGCACCAGCGGGGACTGGGGCCAGGCTGGCAGCAGCCTGATTTGTGGAATAATTAATTCTCTTTTGATCATCTGCTGTGTAAATCATCAGTGGCCAGGAGTTAATCATGCATATGAAATGAATCCTTCTCCTGCCTTAATGAGTGCTGAATCGTGACCAGCATCTGTTTACTCCTGACACTTTCATCTTCTTGACAGTCTGAACAATTGTTTCCAATAATCTCCTTTTTATTCTATTAAAAAAAAATCTGAGAGCAAGCAGCCTTCCACTCCACATTCCTGCTCCCAGCGTTGTCCCCACTAATCTTTATTTTTTTAGTCTTAAGCGAGGATTTGTTTCTTGGGAGTGATGTGAGGGCTCCGCAGGCACTCAATGAGCCTGGGGAGGAGAGAGCGCTCCGTTCTCCCAACAAGGATGATGCTGGTGGCAGGACCGCCTTCCTCGCTGGCCAGGTTTGAGGCCGGGCTTTTCATAGTTAATAGCAAATAACAAGCCTGTTTGAACACGGGAGCGTTTCCGCCTGCCACTTACCTGGAGCAAACCGCAATTAATCCACCAGTTGCGCCGCCAACGCGATGTTGTAATTGGATTAATTAGAGAGGAGCTAGCGGCCACTCTGGGGAGGTCTGTCCCTGGCTGCAGCCTCCTCCAGTGGTGGGATCCGTGCCCGCTGGGTGCCAGACCGGCATCACCGGGAGATGCCAGGGCCAGCCCCGCTTCCCCGGGGCTATCGCTTGCCTGGCCAAGGGCACTGGGGCTTGATGACGGCTGATGCTAATTGGAGTTTATGAGGCATGGCCCGGGTAACGGGCGCTCGTAAGAGGCACTGGGAGCAGAGGGGGCTGCGGGTGGGCTCTGCTGCCAGATGAGGGGCTCGGGAGGCCGGGGTCTTGCGGGGGGCAGCGAGCCCAGGAGGGGACTCAGAGGCAAGGAGCTGGGTGGGTGTTTTGGTAAGCGGGGAATGTGGTCGCCTTCCCCATCAGCCTCAGCTGTTTTGATGGGCAGCAGATGATGTCTGCCAGCCCTCGGTCACCTCTGCCCCATACTTTGGGGAGAAGCAGGGAGGGGGTGTGTGTCCCAAGCGGGTGGGGGTGGGCTGGGAGCCCTGTGATGAGGGCTGAGCGGGACAAGCCTGGCTGCACCGGACCCTCCCGCACCGCACCGCTGCTCCTGCAGCCTCTGCCGAGCGTTGGGAAGGCAAAAATCCCATGTTTCTGCTTCCCAGGGTGGCTGCTCAGCCCCGCTCTCCAGTCCCAACATCGGGGTGCCAGCGTGGGGGCTTATCTGGACAAACAGACAGACACCCTCGCTAGACCTCACTGGGGCCCAGCGAGATGAAGGAACCTGCCCCCCTACCTGGGTTTGTGCTCTGGGGCCGGATCCTGCACTGCCTGGGAGCTAGGGGCTGTGCCATAGATTCGGTTCCCTGGCTGCCCTTGGGAAACACACGTTAAAAATATGTATATATGTGTGGTAGGTATTAGAAAAAGCTTTCTGGGGACTCTGTGCTAAGCCTGCTGTCCGGCTGGCTGGAGGAAAGGTGAGGGGCAGGCGGGGGGTCTGCGGGGATGGGATGCCCCTGGGCACAAGGGGCATAGCCACAGGCTGCAGGAAGATGCCAGCCCTGCTCTTCCTGAGCTAACTTGGGTCTAACCTGGCTCAGCTGGAAACCAGGGGCCACAGGGGATTTATCGCAATTGCCTGAATCAATTTAAAAAAAAAAAAAAAATGCCCTTAGGAAAGCAGGCAGCTCCCCGTGCCAAACACCAGCCTGCAGCTCTTTTGAAGCCCTCTGAGCTATCCTTGCTGGAGCAAATCCTAAGGCCATCACCAGCTAAACAAATCAGCTAAAAAACCAACCCCAAACTGCTGAGAACAGACTCCGCACCCTAAACTACGCAAACCAGGTGGGACCTGAGGCTGTGGGACGCCGGCGCTGCTTTTGGACTCCATCCCTGCTAAAGGGAGCCGGTACCCAGCTGCGTGGCCACCAGCCCCAATTAGGATGCTACGAAGGTGAGGCCAGTGGGCACGACCCAGCCTTTAGGTACTTTATTCCTTCTTTTACCCAAAAGGAAGAACAAAATCCCACCAGCTCCTCCATTCTCCAGAAAAATGAGGGTTTTTTCTGACGTGAATCAGCTTCCCCAGGAGGCAGCTGGGGCAAGCGAAAGCTTCGGCGACGTGCGGGATGCAGCAGCAGCCCCAGTGTTAACCAAGTATTTGGGGTCTGAGGAGATGCCCCAGGAAGGACATCATGGCTCCTGTGAGGGGAAGTGGGGGTTCCTGGCTGAGCGGGAAGGGTTTGCCACAGCCCCGGCCTCATCCGAGCTCCTGACCGCAGCTAACAGGGAAGAGGACCTCCCCGAGAGCCGGGCACCTGCAGATGCCCCTGACTGCTCTAGAGCCCGTGGGAGGCGCAGGGCCGTTGCATCGCCCCGGCCAGAAAATCTCGCCATCCTCAGGAATCTGCTGTGACCTTTTGGCAAGTGCCAGGAGCCGGCAGCTCTTGATCTGGCTTGCAAACCAGCTCGAACGGTGATGGCAAGGTCAGCAAGATTTGGGGCTCCTGGACACGTCCCTTGTCACATCAGTTCCCATGGCGTACTTGGCTGTAATTTAGCCCAGTTTAATTGGCGCTTAAATTAGCCACAAATAGGACAGCGCTGCAGCTGCAGCTGTGTTCGAAAATATATAAAATTACAGCACAGTAAAACATTTTCACATTTCATTAGTGCATCTTAATGGGAAGTGTCTGCTCCCCAAACTCTCCATTTGTTCTCCGGAGCAGTAAAAGTTTACACATTAGCAGTTGTGCTGCCCATTAACATTGCAAAATGCTCCACATATTTTGCAGGGGCAGCGCTGCTCCACAGGGATGGGATGGGAAGCCTAAAATTTAGCGGCCGGGGTGCTCTCCTGAGGCATATAAGTGGCTGGTGGGAGGCAGCTGAGCAGGGAGCATCCCGTGCCCCAGGAGGAGCACGAGAGCACCTTTCCCGGGATGGTGCTGCCTGTCCCCCCGGCTTTATGAAAGCTCTGGCTTTCTCACAGGTAGGGTAATGCCTCCGATCCAAATCAGGAAGCTTTTTCAGTTGAAGCAGCTTTTTACTAGAAGCCTATTTAATGCTTAGGCTGATGCCCTCAAGTGATTTATTTTACAGTATTTTTGTTCCTCTCCATTATAAGTAATAGTCTATAAAAGCCCGAACGCGGCACTTTGCTCCCTCCTGCTTCATTCCCCCGCAGCGCAGGTGGCCCTGCATGGCGGGGGCCAAGGAGGCAGAACAGGGCTCCTCTGCCCACGGCTGCTGCTACCCCAGTGCACTAATCCATAATCCAGAAAAAAAGCCAGAGAAAAAAACCTCAGTGAGAGGTGACTGGTGACTGCAAAAAACCTCGGTGAGAGGTGACTGCATGGAGCCAAATTGCTCACCCCATCAGCGTACCCCAGGCAGGTTTGGTTAAATAGCTTTGGGTTTGTGGCCAGCTCTGTGTTTCTTGGGCAGCGTCTTCCCTGTTGGGCTTGGGATGGGGGGCTTATGGCATGAAATGAGTTTTGAGGTCTGAGCCCAAACTGAAAGGGTGGGGATTGTACCTTGTCCCTCTCCCACCTCGTCCGGATCTCAGCTCCCCTGGGGAGATGGGCTCTTGTAGCCAGGGTGGCCAAGGAAAGGTGAGGGGTGCTGAGCCCGGTGGGTTTTTAAAGCTCGAGTGGTTTGGGGAAACCAAACCTCCTCCTACCCCTGGTTTGTCTCATGGGTTCAGTGCAGTGATGTGCAGCCAGGCACAGGGAGGTGCTGGAGGAGGAGGGGGCAGGAGCTGGCCCCGCCGGGCTGGCACCAGGACCCGGAGTGAGCCGGGAATGGGAACATCCCGGTGCTGGCTTGGAGGAGGACGTGCATCCCGGGTCTGACCTGTCCCACCCTTCCCAAGCTGGAGGCAAAATCCCAATGCCTTCCAGCTCTGCAGCCCAAACCTGTGTAGAGCATCCCCGAACCTCCCCCTCCAGCCAGACCCTGAGCTGGAGGCTGGGATCCAACCGAGCTGCCTCCGCTTCATTAGCTAGTAATTACCCCAACAGGCAACGGTGCTATTTGTGTGATTGGAGGCTGCTAACTGCCAGCCGGGGAAGGCAATGAAGAGGAGGGCAGCTGTGTTTTGCCCTCCCCATCTCTTGGGTTCATCCTCAGGGCGCTGGGACCCTCTGCCTGCTGCGTTTTGCCCTCCCCATCTCTTGGGTGCATCCTCAGGGCGCTGGGACCCTCTGCCTGCAGTCAGGGGCTGCCCGTGCCCGCCGCAGCCTAGTGAGGGGCTTTCTTCCATTTGCTCCTGGGCTGGCAAGCTGGGCCCTGCCTCTCCTGCCCAGACATATACAGCAGTGGGCTCTGTCCCCCTCCGTCCCCCTCCACCAGCTGCGTTTGACCTTTCGGCAGTGGCACTTGGAGAGCAGCGGCGGCTGCGCAGCTTTGCCGCATGGTCCCCGGGGGCTGGCTCGCCACCACGGCTGCTGCAGCTTGGAGGGGAAAAATTATATTTTCATCTCCATCCCTCCATCCCCCTTCTCACTCTGGAGCTTTTTTTAGAGCCAAAGGGAAGAAGAGGCTGTGGTCTGGCTTTCTTGCCTCCCCTCTGCTCCTGCCCTTTCATTCCTCTCTTTCCGGCAGCTGCAAATGGCTTTGCTTGCGAACGCTCGCACTTATCTGTCCCCGCGCCTTTTCATCTTGCGCTGCCTAAATATTGGGGCCAGGCGGCTTTGGTAGGTGAGCGGGGAGGAGAAAGCGCTTTTGTTGGAGTGGGTGCGTGGGCGGGCGAGCTGTGGAGCCCTCTCCTGCTGATGGAGAAGCTGGCTGCCTCCACCGAGGGGGGTGCAGAAAGCCGGGGTGGGAGACGCCTTGTCCTGCCACCGCAGATGGCCCTGGGGAGGGGGACGCAGGGGCTCGGCAGGTCCCCGGTGTCCATCTGGAGATGATGGAGAGGCATCTTGGGACTGCTGCAAGGCAGCTGGGGCCTGGCCGGGGCTGTTCTGCGGCCTGGGGGTGACACCCTGCACAGTGAGCCAGCGCTGATGGAGAGGACATGGGCACCCTCATCCTCCATCATCTCAAACCAGGGGAGTGCAGCTGCATCCCCCCAATATCAGCACCCCCCCACCATCCCAGGGTGCATCGCATCCAGCATCCCAAAGCTTTTGAGCCAGGTGCTGATGGATGGCCCTTGCTGGCGATGGATGCACGCCGGCACCCACAGCCTCGATGCTCTTCAAGGAAGGTTGCAGCTCCGCTTCTCAGGCTCCCCCTTGTTTATCAACCAGCAAGACATGGGGCGGGGAAACGGAGGGAACGGACAGGGTGGCCACTGCCACTGTCCCCCACCCCAGGCGCCAGCACAGCCCTGCAGCCGCTCCAGGGCTGTGGGTGCTCCTGGTTTTCCCATGGGTGAAAACGGCTCTTCCACGGGCAGAGAAAGGAAGGACAAAAAAAAAAGACACCTTTGGCAAGTGCCTCGTCCTTGGATGTACCCAGCTGTGGGGACGGGCAGAGGGGACACCCAGGTGCCGGGCTCTGCCCAGGGCTGCACAGGCTGTGGGGCCGGCTGGGAGCCTTTCAATGCCGGGGGAAAGAGCCATAAACCAGATATTTCCCACTGGAAAGATGATGAACGCCCTCATGCAACTGATTAACTCTGCAAAATGCAATTACCAAGTTAAGGGTGCACCAGTGGCAGTGCAGCTGCCCACCACCACTGAGGGCTCTCCCCAGCTCAGCACACGGTGCGGCACATTGTCCCATGGCTGTTGCTGCTTCACCACCCCACAGCCCACTCCACACCGCCTTGCTTGGGAAAACCAGCTTGGATCCAGCCCCACCGAGCACCTCCCAGCCCCTTGCCCAGGCAGCCCCATGACTGGACCCGCTCAGAATCCATCCGCATCTGCCATGGCATCCGAAGCGGAGCTATGCATTGCCTTGCAGGTTCACACCTCAGTTGCAAATGTTATTTTAAGCAAGAAGCCCTTCCTCTTCCTCCTCCTTCTCCTCCTCCTCCCTGGCCAAAGCAGGAAGACATTGCAGCAGGCAGCAGTGTTGCAGCACATGGTGGAGAACCCCCCCTCCTGCCAGGCAGGGCTGGCTTAGTCAAGGAAATAATTGGTAGGTGCTTCTGAAGTGCCATGAATAGAGGACACTCGGAGCCTTTGTTTATTGACTCTTGAGTGATAATGAATACTTCCAAAGATAATAATTGATTGTCTGCATTTGCAGTAAGCCTGTTTGGCTGGGGAACGGGTGGAGCAGCACCGCGCCAACACCGTGTGGAGGTGGGCACGGGGTGGTTTGGGCAAAACCAGGCTCCAGCTCTTCCCGCTGGGCACAAGCAAAATAAAAAAAAAATTTAAAAAAAAAAATTCAACATTTATTGAAAAATATTTGTGCAGCTCCAGGACAAACCCAGCTTTCTTCTCCCTAGAAGGGGGAACAGATTAAAATTTAATCCTAGTTAAACACATTTTCTCCTTTCCCTCCTCTCGGGTACCTCTTGTGCATACACAGCTTCACCCTGCTGATCACTTCTCCCTTCGGCCCCAGAGCTTGTCCTCCTTGACAGAGGCTGAACGCCCACAGGGAGTGTTCACCCAGAGCAGGGACCGCTCTCTTTTCTCAATCACCCCCAAAATTGAAGCCTGGGGGCGGGAGGGGATGGGGAGATTGGTCCCTTTAAATGTAGGAGAGGATAAAGCAGGAGAAGGCAGGCCTGGGGGTTCTGAGCATCCCCACCTGCCTCTGAGCCTGGTAGGTCCCTCTCGGGTTTCCCGGGGGGGTTGGGCCCCGAGGGGGTGCTTTGCGGGGTGAGGGGGTGCTGGGTGTTTAACTGTGTGGTGCAGGTGGTTGTAGGGCTGCAGAGTCGGGTGCAGCGAGTGGTGCTGGGGGCCCAGCAGCCTTGGAGAGAGCCCTGTTTGCAGCCCCCCACGCCGGGTGGAGAAAGCCCAGGCTCAGCCCTTTGTGCTATTTAAAAAAAAAATCCAACAAAACAAACAAATCATGGAAGAAGAGCTCTCTAGGGAAGAGATTATTTATTTTATTTTATTTTTTTTGCTTCGGAGGAAATTGTGCAGCTATCCTCCAAGTCACGGTTTCCCTGTTCTCATCAGGAGACCGACTCTCTCTGCTACAGTTTACTGCACCAGTTTGGGTGCAAACATTTGAACCTGGCAGAGCCCCGTGTTATCGCTGGGGTTGTAAATAACCCGGGGTGGCATTTATTGCAATGCCCACAGGGTGAGTAACCGCCGGCTGGATGCTGCTGGCAGATAGCGGTCTCGCAGGGTAGGCAGTATCTGCTGGGGCTCTGGGGATGCTGTTTCCAGAGTATGGCCGTGACCACCCCGAGGGCTCGGGGGAGGGAGGCCAGCGGGGGCTGCCTGTGCCCCATGGCACGGTCCCCGTGGCTCCTCGCAGGGGCACCGGCCCGGGGAGGCGTTGGCAATGCCGTGGGCTAATAGATACTCTAGAAATGTAAGGTATCATTTCTGCTTATGATATAGTGCTTT